ATACAGGACAAGATTTGATAATCCATTTGAGGTAATATTTAAAAAAATACTATTACACGTTTCAAACAATGAACATGACAGACTCTTCTTGCTCTTGTTGCAAACTTCTTGGAAAACCTCCGGCACGAGTAAATTTTATCATGACTACAGGTGTACCAGATAGTTTAGTTTATGAACGAATTGAATATTTGCTTGAAAATTATTCCGAATCTTCTTCGTCTGCCAATGATATTTCTGTAACAAATTATAAAACATTGATGGATATTAGTCGACACTTGTTTGATATTCAAAAGCATTCGTTGTCAAATGATCTGTCAGCAGCATCTGAAACACAGACATGTTGTCACGGATTTACTACTATATCAATTACTAATGATGATATATCAAATTCTTCCAAGTTAAAGACATTAGAAAAAGTTATTCTTAATCATCTCGATCCAAAAGCTGATCTAGAAACAGAACAGAAAAACACAACATCTAAACCAGAAACTTGGATTATGCTGGACGGATCAGCCTGTTTAGAACCACCTGTACTTAGCATATTTTCTCGTCTTCAAAATCATAGTTCACCGTTATTAAATTTTTCTTTAACTATATTATGTTTTCTTGTTGATGAACAACGCCTTTTTGAAAACTGGCTAAATCAAAATATTTCAATTCATGATTATCAATCGAATACTTATCCTAAATATGAACGTCTAATGAACAATTTCTTTCCTTTATTAAATTCTTCAACATATCTTCAACAGAATACATTACTTATTGAAGAACAAACCGTTTTAACTGATCATGAACTTCAAACATTAATAAAAAATCTTTACCATAATAAATCAACGAAATATAGAGCAACTAACGTTCAACTTCGCCAATACATGGCAAAACTACTATCACCCCGTCAACGAACGGTACGTGATATACGTAATGTTCGATCTAATTTACAGAAAAACTATGATCAATTTATCAAGAATCGATTAAGACCACTTTTCAATGAACTTCAACAATCACAAACAGCTGCCAGTGGTGCACGCCAGATAGTTAATATTGTTCTCAATGAATTTGAGCGTATGAACGAAGAAGAACTGAGAGTTTACAAAAGACAGCTTATACTTGGCTTCGAATTCTATAAGGCAGATCATTCAAATACAATTGCCTCTCAGCTAGTTCATTATGCTCTTCAATTGCTTAAAAATAATGATGATACTTCAATACCATTTATATATTCCATAGTTTTAGTAATCTGTAAATTAGGTACTCATTTTTACTTCCGTCATGAATTATTCAATAATACACCTGAAATATACACATTAAGTTTGTTGCTTGTAAGTCAACGACAATATGCTTTAACATTATGTGGTCTTCGACTTTGTATAACTATTCTGAATGGTGATCAAAACGAGCATAAATATGCACTTGCTTATTTAACACATGATTCGTTAGCAGCACGCAAAATTCTAGATGCTGTTAAATGGCTTCTATCACCTTATATAACACTCAAAAATTTATGGAAAAACGAAAAAGAAAATGAAGTTTCTGAGTAAGTAAAATGAACTAGTTTGATTTATTTGTAATTAATTCTTTTTATGTATTATCGTTAGGGCAAACAAAGAAGAATCAGCCTTGCATAAAGCTGAGAGATGTTGCTTTCAGCATGCAGGTATTCTAGTCGGACGAGCTTATATAAGTAGTATTACATCATTATATTATGGATCAGCTGACCATTGTGCATTAGTGACAGAAGATGATGTGCGCAACTTTCTCGAAGTCATTAATATCTTAGCCACTCCTCGTCTGGCTAATTGGAGTCGAGGCGAAAACAAATCTCGTTTATGTTTGGAACTTGTCGGTCATTTATGCGCCTTTCTAACTCCTATTCTCCAATATAGCTTACCTTCCGTTTGTTCGGTATTACTAAATCATGATGATCTGTTGTTAACCATTCCAAAAACTATTCGATATTTGATCACAGCCGATGAAGATATGGCTAATATATGCGTTCGTTTTTACACACGATTTGTTCAATTAAAATGTAAACAAGAGCAAGTCGATGACGATATCGAAGATGAAAAACAAGAAGAATCCTCCAATAAATTGGTAGATGTACCGATTCTTAGTTCATCAGATTCATTAAACCTTTCTAAAGATTTAATCTCGGCATATTTCGATTTACACCAACGTATACAAAAAACAACTTCCATTGATGAAAACGTTAAACAACAAGAACAAATAAAAATACTATTTAATCAAGAATGGACAAAACTAAATGTTATACAATTGCAACATGATCATCAGCAGCTTCAACATCAACACAATTTACTCAATGACGAACTTTCACAATTAAGAAATCAATTGCAACGTACTCAAGCAGAAAGAGATGAATTTAGAAAAGAAAATATGAATATGGCTCAGCAGATTGACAATCTCAAACTTATATCTGTAACTAGCGTCAATCCACAATCTCAACAATCATCAGTCTCTGTTTCAACTCATGATAACAATCAAGAAAGTATTATTGATAAGTTGCAAAACCTTTCTTCGCATGATATTACAACTGAACAAGCAGAAGCATGTATTCAAGAAATTTATCATCGACGAAGCACATTTAATGATCATGATATGAGAAAATCTATTTGTGGATCACTTAAACATCTTGGTTCTGATCTTTATAGTTCACCTGTACACTTTCTTCACGAACTCATTCAGGTTCTTCTATTTAATATTTTCTTTTGAATAATTTTAAAATGAATTTTTTTTTGTTTATAGAATGCTGAAGACAATTTTTATACGAATACAACTATACCATGTTTACGTATCGAACTCAATCATAGTTATATTCTTCTATCGAATAATGAACAAGGTCTTCGAGTACAAGACGTTTTAGCTCTTTGTAGTTTAGCTGTAAGTACAAAAACAAGTCAACAACAACATATTGGTGAAAAAGGTGTCGGATTCAAATCAGTTTTTGCTGCTTCCAATCAACCCATGTTATTTTCACATGCATGGAAATTTGCATTTCACGTTCCAGGTATTGATGCTATGTCATATATAACTCCATTATGGATAAAAGATCAAGATATTCCTGATTATATTTCGAAACAAATCTTAACAAATACTCAAGATACACATCTCTATTTACCACTTAAATATCAAGCACATACAACAGAAGCTGATCTATTTCTCAATCAAGTTAACAAAGCTGTAGATCCATGTATTTTACTCAATATGAGACAATTGAAAAAGCTTGAAATTATTGATCAAAGACAAAATAAACTTACAATTATTGAAAAACAACTGATAGGATCAACAAAATTAGCACAACAATCGGAAGTAACATTTGAAGATTTTACATTTATAGATCTTAATGGATCTATGATTCAACTATGTACTTCATCAGGCTATCATACTTTTCGAGTGTATACATGTTATATTGATGTACCGAATTCCATTGAACAACGACGATCATCAAAAACTCGACTTATTATGGCATTTCCTTGTGAAAATAATTATTGTTTAACAAGTACAGTTTATGCAGGTTTACCTGTCTGTGATCTTGGTTTTAATTTTGTTTTTAATGCTGATTTTCAATTAGTTACAAATCGAGAAAATGTTCGAGAAAATGTTCCATTTAATTCATTTATTCGTGATCATTTATCAGCTCTTTTTGTTTATCTGTTATTAAATGATTTAGACTTAAGAAAAGATATTAGTCGATATTGTCCATCATCTAATATACATCAAATTAAACATTCATCATGGTGGCTGGTTATGATAGATAGTATTAATGAATTAATAACTAAATATCTTGCAATATTATTTGATATTCAAACAGGCAAATCGATTCGTTACTTAAATAAAGACTTAACATCACTTGTATCAAATGAACAATTATATAATTGTGCTGATATTCAAGTAATTAATTCCGATGATAGTTTTTTAACAAGTGAACGATTGAAATCATTTCAAATTCAATCAGTTTCAATTATGGATGTTCTCAATTGTTTTCCTAATCAAGAAGTAACGAATGAATTTCAACAAAAATTTAAATTATGGGCACAAAATCAAAATGAACAATGGTGGTCTCAACTTTTTCATCACATAAATCAAATAATTACATGTGAAATCTCTGATAAAATATTATCGAAACCAATATTTCTTTTACAACATGATCATCAACGACAATATTTACCAAAAAATGATAATATTCGTTTTCTTTTCTTTATTACTGATGATGCATCATTTCGAATATGGAAACGACAACTTATTTTATTACGATATTCTTCAACATCAGAAAGAGATGTTCTTCTTAAATCAAATCATATACAACTTCTTACTGAAGAACGTATGATTGAAATTATTCGTCTTGATCATTTACAACTATCTCTATCATCATCGATTATAAATACCGATGTAAAATTAATTGAAGAAATATGGAATGATTTATTTTATTTGAAATCTCGGCTAGATAAATTAAATAAATCAACTCATTTTCTAGTGCCAACTAGTGGAACAACAAATCTTGTTTCAATTCAAAATGCGATTTTACCAACAATCTTTGGGATAGATATTCAATCATTTATGTATCCTACAACATTACCTGTCATTCTTCTTACGTATCTCAAGTTTCATCATGATCATCAATTGATGAATATTCTTGAATGGGAACATTTTTTCCTTGAAATGAACTGTCAACGACCATCTATTTATCTCTCTCGTGATTATACTATTGATAAATTACCACTTTTACCAACATTTACAATGTTTAAAGATGAAAAATGTGCTCAATTAGGAGAAATGATCTTATTAAATCAAACAGAAAATACAAAAGATTGTCTTTGTCATTTTCCTATTGTTGATAATTCACAAAACGAACAACAAATTAGTCCAGTTTCAGCTACATTCGATGAACTTATCGTTCGAGATCTACCATCATTACCACGTATTACTATTCCACCTTATTGCCGTAGACTAGCATTGAATCTTAATGTTTGTGTTGAATATGATCTTCGTACATGTGTTACTATTTTACAATTGTTAAGTAATGAAAAAAATACTAACATTAATTTATATATTCAATGGTTAGGCCATTTACAATTGTATGTTCGTCGACAACATGATCAATTTAATTCAAAAGAATTACTTTCATCATGTCATTTGTATCTTCCTGATCAAAATGAATTTTATTCGCTAAAACAATTATTAGTTATATCAGACAATGAAAAATATCATAACGGTATTTTGTTGGTTTCAAAATATCTTAAATTACAAATAATTTCACCATCGATTAATCAGATTTATTGGCAATTCAAAGATCTTTTTCAGTTTTTAGGTTGTACATGTACAATAACTATCAGTCATATTTATCAAACAATTTATTTAGCAACTCTTGATAAAACTAATTTTTTTGCTTTGGGTGATTGTCATACAATTCTCACAGAAAATGGAATGGAATCAATGATTATTCTTTTTCAATATCTTGAAAATTTATTATTAAACTGTGTAGAAGAAAATAAACAAAATAGTGCCGATCTATATCATGCAATAGTTGAAAAAAAACATCCAACAGCACCATGTGGTAGTCGAGAAGATCTAGAATGGCGTTTTAGTTTTACTTGTAATTCTTTATCACAACAACTAAAACAGCTCAGTGGTGTGCAATCTCAACAAAATGAAAGTGGTCTCCTTACCATAGATCGACAACTTATAAAACAAGAGAACAATAAAAATATTTATGCATGCTTAGAAACTAAAATTATTCAAAATTTATCCAGAGATATTGGTAAACGATATTTTATTTCACCAGTAATTACTCAAACATGTCCATTAGTTTTGGCTATATTTCAAATTGATTATGTCGAACGACGAGGAAAACTTGAATGGATACATAAAAATCATAATCTTGAATATGGTCTGACACAATTAACAGAAATTTTTCGTAATACACTTGCCGATATTAAAATAGAAGTGATTACAGCAAAATATGCCAGTGTAACTCTTCTTTTTTCTGATACTTTCGTAATTGATTCAATTGATGAACAGAATGAAGATGATATCGAACGATATATGGTTGATAGTGATTATCCTTTTTGGATATTTAATAATATTATTCTGCTTTGCACTGGAAGTGAACAGCATAATTCATCGAAAGCAATTATTGCAACATCTGCTCTTACCACTTTATTACATAAACGAAAGTATTTACCATTCGAAGAAGCTAAATCAATCGCTCGACAAAAGATAGGTGCATGTACAGCATTTCGTTCGGAACAGATTTCCAACGTAGCTAGTGCAGCAACTGGTATATATTCATATACTGATTTACTATTTCCTACGGATCATCATACTATTGAATCATTGATTATCTCAATTGGAAAACATTGTAGTATCGAACAAGATCAAGAAGATAATACTTTAACTACAATTGCTGCAAATCGAATCGCTATAGATAAAATATACCGTAATTTGACAAATACACAACATCACATTCCTCGACACGAGAGCAATCCAAATAACTGGACTGATCCATCGATTGTTGATGGTATTGAACAGATTACTATTGGTCGCAATGCAGAACATTTCTTTTTTACCTATTTACAAAAATGTTATGGTTCTGTAGATGTAACTCCAACAAAAAACTGGCGTTCATCATCGCGTCTTATTAATCATCCAAACTGCCGGCGTAATATAGATGATTCAGTTGGTTATGATTTTGAATTACATGATACACGTGAAATATTTGTGCATGGAACAGGATCAATAACCAAATATTGTTATTTTGAAGTGAAAGGTACAAGTGGACTATTCCACAAAGCACATACTCTCTTTCACATTTCTGAAAACGAATTGAGAACATGTGAAGCCATTGCAAACGATGGAAAAAGACGAGAACGCGAAGCATATTTTATTGTTATTATACAGAACTGTCTTGATGCTGAAAAAATTTCATTTGGTACTACAATTAACTGGTAAGACTTGAATTTATTATTAAAATGTATGTCTTTTAATTTCATCATTTTTAAAGGAGTGATGATTTTTGGATGGTGCAAAATACACCCGATAGTTATCGATGCAGAATTGTATCACCACAGTCGATAAATTTTAATCATTCGAGAACAGAAGAGCCAAGAAACCAAAATCGTCAGCAACAGCAATTACCGCAACAATCTCAAGCAGTAAGATCGGATAGAAGGTATAACAATTCAGCAACACAGCCTACATTCGCAAACAGTGGAAATGCAGCATCGACTCACTACAATCAACAGCAGCAATCACCACAACAATCTCAAGCGGTAATACCGAATAGAAGACATAACAATTCAGCGACACAGTCTACATTCACAAACAGTGGAAATGCAGCATCGCCTCATCCCAATCAACAACAGCAATTTCTAGCAGTAAGACCGGATAGAAGATATAATAATTCAGCGCCACAGTCCACCTTCGCAAACAGTGCAAATGAAGCATCTATTCAATATAACTCATCGACTTATTACAATCAACAACAGCATGGCCAAATACGTTATAACAACGATGGTAGTAATGATACACGTCGTCAACAGACTCAGAGAAAAAATCGATAGTCTAGCGCAAGTTTAATGCAATAAATTCTATTTTTGTGATACTAATCTAAAAAATAAATAATAATATATGTATTTCGATAACAGTATATCTAGCATGATCTAAATATTGATACTAACTAAACTATAGAATTAGATGAAAAATAAAAAAAAATTGATACCATTAATATAAGATTCTATGATTGCTTTATTTGTAGAGTAAAAATAGAAGTTATTATGAAAAGAGTGTAGTAGATAAAGATTGGATATATATATATAATGACTTATATTTATCTGTTTAAAATTTCATATAAACTTCCTTAATTTTATAGAGAAACTATGATAATTTAAGTAAAGATGTCAGTTCAACTTGGCTTTGGATCTATCTCATCAAATATCAATAAAAGAAATATTTAAGTATGAATTCTTTTATCTCTATTAAAATATGATAAAGAATATAACAATCTTTTTTCTTTGTTTACAAAATTTTATCATCAATATTATATATTAATTGAAAAACAGTATCGGCTTATATTAATAGTAAATCATTATTTATCATAAAAAACTCATCATTTTCATCAATAAAATCGTGAAATCAAATATTCTAATAATATGTAAAACAAAACATGCAAGAAATGTGATCTTAACTTTTTTTCGGAAATAATAATAGTTTAAAATTTAATTCTAGTCGCTAAATATATAGTAACTGTTCCATTCTTTTATCTTTAACATTATCTTGATAATATTTCAAATAAGTAAATAAATCTCAGTACAATAAATAGATACCAATAAAAGTGCAGATATTGGAGAAACGGATTCTGCACTGTCCTCTAAATCATATGCTATTAAATAACGATAATAGGACATTATGTCGTCAGTTGCACCGGTTGCTATTTAGCTTAATTCTTCCGTTTTATTTGTTTATAGAATTCTTTATAATATCACCCATTCATCTTGCTAATCGAGTTGCATATATAAGATGAGATTATTTG